CTGAGGAAGACTAAATATATAGTCGAAACGTAGGCTTTTTCAAGAAAATAAAGAGTTTCTGTTCACCGTCCCAAACCCGCTAAACTTGACACCTGCTGTTATAATCTTCCACAATTTAACCGTTCAATGTTGATGGATTGCATTGTATTGTGTTCCAAGGTGCTACTGTGAAATGGGCAAAATTGAATGCCAAAACACTTGCGCTCCAGTACCAGCGCTTCCACCGCCCGAGTTGACCTGTTCTGCGAAAGACGCCTCACTGCAACACGCGCCTGATGATGACTGTTGCAAGTACTGGGTGTGCACGGAAAATGCCAGTGCAGGTAAGTTTGACTTTGCTTGATTTTCACCAAAACCAAACATGTACAGACCAAAAAAAGACACAAGACAGACCTTGGAGTGTTCGCGGTTGTGGATTCGCTTCCTCTGTAAATATGCGGGCGAGTGGCTTTTTAACGTGCCAAACACCAGTGGACTTTCATTTGCAGTGGCAGTCGAACTCAACTCGCACAGACCAGACATACGAGGACAAACCGAAAACGAGACCCACTTGCGGCAGGAAAAACCACCTTCTAAAGTGATGGGGCCCCTTGCGGTCTACGAAAATGAGGCGCCCATCAATAACCAAATCGATTTCATAAAGCGCCCGTCTGCACAAAATCCCCAGCTGATTTCCACGCAAAACGGCACAAAGCAAATCCTTTTGAACAATCCTGGGCACCGAATAGCCATTCACGGTGGCACTGCTCAGGATCATCTGCTCAAATTGCTCCAACAACATCCGGAAATTTCGGATCTGCCTTCGGGATCGGTGCTGGAAATTCACGAGTTGTCTCCAAACCATCCAGAGTTCACCCATCGAAATAATATCGACCAAAATCGTCCTGTAGGGCCGCCCTTCAACAGGCATCCTGCACACCCTGCACAGGACATTTCCTTAGAGCAAATCCTGCAGGATTTGCGCAAGAACATTCATTCTCATGCTCATGAACCTTTAGATCCCCATTCACAGTCCCCACCCTTTCACGGCCCCGATCTGGATACGATTCGCAGCAAGACCGCAAATATCACATCCATTTTGAAATTGCCAGGTAATCACTATTTCCGGGAATGATCGCAACCAATAAAAAATGTTTCTAGATGTGTTTCCCAACCAGTATCCGGACGATTTCGGTTTCAATCCCCCTCGGGACGATATTTCCGTCCATGCTTTGGAGGCGATCGACCCGCATACCGTTCGGCTGGCTTTTATGGTACCGCCAGTGATTGTGGGCCTGCACGGAAGAGTGGAGGTTCGATACACCTTCAAACCGTAAGTGATTTGATCGATGCAAAGCTAGTTAATAGATTGGGAGCAACAACACAAGCATCCAATTTTTTTACAAACTTATTTTTGGGTATTTCGCCTCAAAAATGTTTGTCTTTTATTACAGATTGATAAATAGTGCTCCTATTTCGCAATAAGAACGAATTATTTATCAAAAAGTAATCAAGAACTATCACCTAG